GCCTCACCTTGAGAGACTTTGGTCGCCTGATTAAGGGTCATACTCTAAACCTTAACCGGCTCTCCTATGTGGCAATGATTAAACAGGCAGGCCCTTAAAGATGAGAATAACCTGGCGGCGCCTGTTGCCAGAGACCCACTGGCCCTCTACTGAGGCCCTTAGGACACAGAGATCCTGGCAGCTTACAGGGAAGGGTGGTTTTGAGGGAAGGCTCAGCAGAGTGTTTCTGTCATGGACCCTCCACGAGGAGGTGGGACACCATCCCTGCTAATCCTATTCTACACTCACTAGAAGGCAGGAGTGGCTGAAGGGAGCTGTGGGGAGAGGAGAGGTCAGAGGAGCAGAGTAAACTGGAGACAGTATGCTCACGGAGAGACAGCCTATACCTCACTAGTCCACCTCTTAATGGGGGACAAACCAAATCAGGGGCGCTTTAGGATTCTTCCAGGCTCACAGAGCAAGGGAAACGCTGTAAGAGAGTAGGGTCTGTGGGTACTTGTGGGGATGAGACCATGTGCTCTCCTTGGTAGCCAGCTCTCAGTCTCACAGCAAGCATGAGGCCTGCAGCCTCTCTAATCATCTTGCTTCCTCAGCCTTCACAAAATGCACTCAGGACCCCAGGACTTACCTAGGACTTACCTTAGCTCTGGGTAGACATTGTCCAGGTACCACTTGAAGGGCTTGCAGCCCAGCTTTTTCCTGAGCTCCAGCCTGTTCTGAATACTGGAGGAAAGGAAGATACATTTAGTTCTGAATGCCAGGGAGACTGATGTGGCCTAGGTGGTGTGGTATGGACTGTCCAGCCTCTGGTGCCCATGACCTGCTGCCCACTAGTGCCTTGCTGGCAAAGCGTAGAGGCCCCCGTGGACACTGCAAACTCTCCTCACCGCTCCCACCGTCCCCCCTGAAGGGACGGGCAGGTGGCACTCACTTTCCGTAGGGCACATTTCGGGCAGAAGGCACTGCTGCGTAGTAGAAGTTTTTGTATTCATCCATCCAGACCTCCGCTGCCCGGCGGGTGTTCCTGAAAACAAAGCCAGCCTTCCTGAACTCTAATTTCATCCCTTCCCCAGAGTCACCTGTCTGTGCCCATCTGCTCAAGTGTGAATAAGGACAGTGCCCACGAGTGTGGCATGGTGAAGCAGCAGCTACCTCAGGGTCTGTGGGAAGGTGCTCAGCTTAAATCTACGGAACCACCATCCCTCACAGCAGCTTCAAGGATAGCGCAGACGTGTACTGAGAAGAAACCTCTGCTGTGCCTGGAGAAGGAGCCTCTAGTGGAGAGCGCAGCAGGAGACTTTGGTTGCCCCAGCCTCCCACAGCACCACTAACATCCTGGGAAATGAAGGAGGTTCCTTAACTTCACTCTCTTTCATGTGGACCTCCGCTGAGGAAAGTCATGTGCAGATTAGAAATGACAGCATGAAGAAGTGGGGCCATCATACCCCAGGTCTGGGGATGGATCCTCACTGTCCTTAGCTCTAGTTCATAAAGAAAGCTTGCATCCATGACACTTAGGAAGGGCCACTGTAGGCTCAGACACCAGCAGACCCTCTGCTCAGATGAAACATGGCCTATCATGCTCTTCCAAAATGAACACAGCAGGCAGGCTGTGGTCACCCTGCAGGTAAATCTTTTTCTCTGCAGTAAAGGCCTTTTAAATGCTGAACCTGTCACACTGTCTGAGCTGTAATTACTAAATCCATCTCCACGTGGGGCCTCCATCTTCCTCATAAAGTGATAAATATTCCTGTTGTTCCCGAATGGGGGAGGGGCCAGACTGCTGCCACTGAGACAAGATGTTGTAAAATGTGCTCATCCTCAGACCCCTGGTGCTAACCCCAGAAATGCACCTCAAGGTTGATAGCCAAGAATGAAATACATAAATGAAACATATGTGAGTACAGAGCAGAGGCATGACACTGCCACCAGTTTCTGTCTCTAGACAGGTCAGAAACAGAGGCCAATGAGCATGGGCAGAACCCTCGGAAACACCCTGCAGACTCTGGCCACGGATGTTCCCCTAGGTCTGCCAGGCTGAACACACCCCACCTTAGAGCCTGGACTCTTGGGCCATCTCCACAGGGAGCTCTGTGTGTCTGTAACCTGTCAAGCCTGTCCTGTTAGCCCAATTTCACTTCCCCATGGTGCTGACCAGATGAACACTGGAAACATCTTGTTTGGCTTAGAGGTTTTGCTGTCTGCCCCCATGAGGTCTGACTCAGTTTTTTCAGACAGGGCCTCACTATGGAACCTCGGCTGGCCTCAGACTTACAGACATCCACCTGCTTCTGCCTTCAGAGCACTGGGATTAAAGGTGTGTGCAACCGGCAAAGAGTCCCAGGAGAAACCTGGTCGGACTAAGCAGCTTTTCAGTTTTTGTTTGCTTACTAACATCTATCGCCAATCACTAATCAGTTATGAGCCCCGATGTCTTTTGGCTAGTGCAGTGTGACTTCCCTTCTGAGATGGTTTCAGTGTCTGCTCCTTCAGAACTCATGCTGAAATTTAATTGTATTGAAATGACACCAAGAGGCAGAAGCTTCAAGCGGTGCCAGGCCATGGGCTCTGCTGTCTGCTTCCTGTGTGCCCTTAGCCTCCTCTCTCATCCTTCACTGTGTGGGCATCAGGAGAACCCTTGGCAGCGCTGACACCTTGGCCCCAGATGTGTTAGCCACCAGGACAGTTAGCGAACAGTGCTGCTTTTTATACTGCCTCAGACTCAGCCAGCAGCACGTACTCCTGCAGCCCACGGTGGAAGAATGAAATGCACACAGCTGGTCTGGCCTTTCACCGCTTACCGGGCAAAGACAGTGCCACTGCCACCTGGGAACGTGTAGGGGTGCTGCTTCCGGAACACGTGTCCCACACGGCTACAGGGAATGATCTCAAGGCTGCCACCGCACTGCCACACTCGGAATGAGATCTCTGGGAAGAAGGAAATTTGGCAACCATCAGTCACAGCTGCTGCCTCCATGGCACAGCTACCCCACCCTAGCCACCTACCATGGCTCACTTTCAATTGCCAAGGGAAACGAATGAGAGGACGCTTCTCCAGAACATGATCTGGAACTTCTTACAGAGGAGACACTGGATGCACCCCGGATAGGTCAACTCCATAGCATACCCAGAACTGAACATGCATGGAAAACACTGGACCAGGGGGCTCCAAAGGATGGTTTTTGGTCTGAAAGCAGATGCCTGCCAGACTAAGACTACATGCATCCCAGTAACACCACAGCTGACAACTGGAGACAGGTGCACAGACCATGTTCCTCCACACTATTTCCTGTAAATTGAGTACCAGGATACACTGAGCTTTCCTTCCAGGGAAGAAGAATCCTTGCCCATTACTCTCATATATCAGTAGGTCCAGGTGCCAACCAAGTTCCCAGGGTGGTGACCAGGGACAGTCCCTTAACCTTAGCAAGACAACTAGTTTAAACAGGAAGACCAACAAGTGCCATTTTGAATGACACCATGAAGTCTGTAAGAGAGAGCTTCTCTCTAGGGCACTGGCCATATCCCTCAACACATGCTGATATGATGAGAAATCTACAGATCCAGTACAGCTACCCATGGGAACAGAAAAGGAAATGAGGCAGGATCTTTGCAAATCATAGTTAGTGGAGGGCTAAATCCTCTAGAGCAGCATGCTGGGAGTCTGACGTCACTTGGTCAGTGCTGTCTGAGGACCTCCCAGGAGTGGGGGAGGGGAGGGCAAGCTAAAACCACAGCAGGAATTCCCTTGGGAAGAACAGATCCCATCAACCAGTCCCCTCGCACTGTGAGGCCAGCCCCACCTGAACAGATGCAGGGGGTGGTTCTCAACTTTCCCAGCAGCCAACAACACTTTGAGTAAGACACACTCTGTATCTCAGGAAGAAAACTCATGTGAGTGTGCCTACAGGAAGACTCAACAATGAGCTTTCTGGGCAGGGAATCTGCTGAGCTAGCAAGGGGCAGCTTGGAGGCCAGGTAGGCTATTTTCAACTGTGATTCCACATGAGCTCTGGGCATCCCCACTCTGCTCTTGGCCTGCAGACTCTGGGCCTGGAGTATGCCTTCCACGAGCCTCTCCTTTACGGCACTGGAGGCACAGAGCACCCATCCTAACATCACCAGAACCTGCCTAAACGATAGCTCTGTCCCGCATCTCACCTTTGCCCCTTTGCAACTGCTCCCACATAAGGTACTGTTGGTCAGGAAAACAGGCAGTCTTGCCATGTGAACACATATGGCTCAGAGACATGGCTCTGATGTTTCTCAGACATCCTATTCTCCTTCTCCCAACATCACAGCCACCAAACCTGCATGGACTGTTAACTGTCAGCAGTCTGTGTGGCCAGCAAAAGGAGCTGAGAGCAGAGCTCTGCAGAGGGGAGATTCATACCACAGGCCTGATAGTCCTGCTCAAACCCTCTGCTCAGCCTTCAAGTGTCCCCAGGGGGTGCTGCCAGGGACCAGAGGACATCAGACCTCCTAGAAGGGCAAGACTTCTACTGCAGGGTCTTACCTTCCTCAACCCCTCAGGTTATTAAACAGACTATAACAAAAGCCCATGACATCAAACTTGTACTCTTCTCTCTCTGGGCTCCAGACCAGGTCACCTTATATATAAATCAGCCTCTGTAGGGTGACTCACAGGAGACTGGCAGAGTACGTCTGTCAATCTGTGCTGTCAGGGCCACACCAGTTCCTGAGGTGTGGCCTCCCGAGTTCTTGACACATGTTGCCCCACAGGGTGGCTCTAGCCCCTGGAACCTACAGAGGCTCAGGGGCCTTTCAGGTTCACTACTTCAAAGCCTTTCTTGCTCATAAAACTTCACCCAAGCCCACCCAAGCCCACCCAAGCCCAACATCGCACTGAAACATGGGAAAGAGACTGACTCTTGACTCCTCCTTCTCCCTCCCATGGAGCCAGAGCTAGAAGCAGCTTTTCATCATGCTGGGCAGAGGCCTCCTACCAGATGAAACGTCTCCACCAACTTCAACTTCAAAAGACCTATTCAAACGACGGGCTAGCTGAAGCTGTTCTTTTAAGCCAACAGAAACTATCAAAGTCTCTGTCACAAGAAAATCTACTCAAAGTGACAGTGGTGTCCCTTCCCTCCCCCTCCTTGTCCCTTTCCTCCCAGAGCACACCTGGGTAAGAACGAAAGAAACTAAACTCTTGATAGTGAGGGGTCAGGTCTGAATGACAAGCACGTGAGATCAAAGACTTCAGGGAAAACAAGAAACAAACCAGACAAGCTGACCAGCGTCTTCATCTGTCACACAAGACAGCTGAGAGAGCTGTCTATGCAGACCACCACCTGTAACGTGACCATGTCCCATTCCCAGGCAAACATGACCTCCACAGGTCATTAAAAAATTTATTCCCAAAGGTAGTGGAGAAGGTGGGAGTCCACAGAGGTTTCCTAGTGAGATCTGAGCTTGCTTTACCCAGCAGGGCTGCATAAGGGGATGGATTGACCACGTGTGTGGTTACCAGGTGACTGGAAGGGTCTGCACTTGGCTGTGCTGGGGAGAGGTCTTTTGCTCCACCCTTTATGTTTCTTTAAAAAGCCCTTTAGAAGAGACAGAAGAGGCTGGTGGATTAGGATCCAGGCCCTCCTGAGGCTATCCTGTGTTTTTTTCTCTCTCTTTCCCTTCCATATTTCTATCTAAATCTCTTATCCTTCACTCAAGAGTACCCTGGGGGGAGAAGGTGGAGGCAGGTCCCCCACAAGAAGGCTCTGAACATCAGAACCCATCCATGTGACATGTGTGATTACAGCTGGCTAACCCAGCAGCAGCCCGGCTCCATTACCATTCTACACAATCAACCAGAGCCCTGGAAACTGCCATGCGGAAACCCTCAGGTCAAAGGATGTGACAGCATCTGGTTTTGGTGCAGGGATGACCTGAGCTTTAGTCTCCTCCACCCTGACGTCAGGGGCGCATCTTACTGTCACCCCTGTGGTGAGAGTGTGTGACTCACATAACATATAGAGCTGGTTTGCCCACTGAATGGCTGCTCTGGGGCCTCCCTAACTGCTAACATGCCACCCTGCCTCCCATACTTCACCACGGTGACACCGGTGGACTTGAGGCCAGAGGGCTGTACATACCCAAGTTCTCTCCTCCCCACACATCCATCATCATGTCGTACTTCCCCAGCTCTTCAAAATAGAGCTTGTCCATCACAAACAGGCCACCAGCAATCATGGGGGTTCTGAAGAGGAAGGAGAGCAAGGCAAAGTTAGACTCACACCACAGGCTGACATCTGTGCTCTGAGGGGGTCTTCCATTCTCCACTGACTTCTAGTCACCGCCTCAGGTCCCACAGAGACTGAGACCCTTGGCTTTTACATGCCTCACCTTATGAGGTAACCACAGCAGTAACATTAAAGGCCATAGTATACAGTTCCACTCTGCTACAGAAAACACTGCATCATAAACAGGAGACAACATGGAACCATCAGAGATGCCTTGTAAGGAAGTGGACCTAAAACCTCCTTCACCGCATGACCTGCTGCAGATGCTGGCCTTGAGGGGAGGCCAGGGACCAGAAGGCAGAGCCCCAGTACCTGGAAGCACACTGCTGCAGGGGCCAGAGTCTGGGCTCTCCCCAGGAGGGCTTCCTGCAACACGCTGTACTTACTTTATAGGGGCGACTGGGTTCCCCTGCCGGGACCTCCTCTGCTCTGGCGTCATGTAATCCCACTTGAACACCAAGTTCCAGTCAAAACCTGCCGACCCAGAAGAGAAAGAGCCATGAGAAGAAGACACAATCTCTTGGGCCTGCTGTCCTAACCTAGCAGCTGGACAATGAACCCATGTAGGCAGGGCTCCCTGCCAACTGACCAACCAAAACGAAGAGCATGAGGGGGGAGGGGAACAACTGGGGTGATGGGGTGGGCCAGGGAAGCGGGTAGCAGGGTGGGTATGGGGCCCAGTGAAATCTTCCCAACCCTCCAAAGCAAACACAGGTCTGAGTTTTCTTTAAACAAAACAAAACTACATGTATGATTAGGGATCTGTGTGTGGTTATACACATGGGTGCAAGTGCCCATGGAGTGCAGAAGAGAGTACTGGAGCCCTGGGAGCTGGAGTTTTAGGTCGCCTGATTTGCTAGGAATTGAACTCAGATCCTCTCAAGTGTAGTGCGTGTTCATAATCTCTGAACCACCTTTCATACCCCTCCGATCGTTGTGTTGTTTTTTTTTTTTTTTGACACAGGGTATTGCTATTTCGCCCAAGTTGGTCTTGAACTTGCAGCAATCCTCCTGTCTCAGGCCCCTGAGTGCTAGGATTACAGACATATGCCGTCATGCCTGGCTTGGATTTTCTAACATTAAAAAGTCTAAGAACAAATGTGAAATATGAGAACTGTGTGTGATGCTACTGTACCTACAACGGCTGTGCACACAAGACTGGGACCTAGGGACCAGTCAGAGCTGGATAAATCACAATTGGCTCCCAGAACCACAGTACAGCACATAGTACCTCCGTGGGACCCATGCTCTCCAGGCCTGGACCAGGACCTTTCAGGGCCCAGCGACACAAGATCTTACATGCTGAGTGTGACAGTGTGATGGTGCGGGCCCGTAATCTCAGCACTCATGAGAACTGCTAAGGCAAGAGATCTTGGGTTCTAGGCCAGCTTTAGCTAAATAGTGGGGGCGGGGGGAGAAAAGCTGTCTTCCACCCTACTCTTTGCTTTTGTGGATTTAGGGGATATGGGCTGCTAGAGCAGGGGACAGTATAACCCGCTCCATCTGGGTGTAGCAATGGCTTCACAGCCATGGCTAATACAGTCTCCTTCCCACTGGAGCCTCAACAAGTCTTAAGAAGCAAAGGAAAATCTTGGACAAATTTCTCGAGGGTTCCTGGAGGACAACAAGAAGGTAACATCTGTAGGCTATGTGGCCCCAGAACATGCTGGTCCATTCACAAAAACAAAGGCCACCCAGTGGTGAAGCAGGCTGTGGTTGGGTGGCTGGGAAGGAAGGACCATGGTCCAAGCTTGAGCACAAAGGTAGGACGAGCCCCTGGTGGGCAGGCAGTTAAGGAGGCCAGCAGCAGGATGGCAGGACTCCAGGGCAGCAAGCTGGCAGGGCATGTAGGCTATAAGAGGAAGGGCTGGGACAGGCAGAGGACACAAAAACAGGTTCCAGGCCCACTCTGCAAATCCTCAGCGTTATGTAGTTTCTTGCTGGTAGCAGCTCTGGAGCCCCTCAGCCCAGCCCAGGAGTGGTAAAGGCTCCTCTACTCCAATCTGCAGGGACGTCACACAGTCCCCTAGCTGTAGTAGTGACAGCTCCAGGAGAGAGAGGGATAGGATGATAGGGTGGTGGATGGGGCTGGTGTTTCTGCCGGGGAAGCTGGGCCAATCCCTTCTGTGGGGTACCAGTCAGAGCCCACACTATAATATGAATTCTGCTGTCAATGTCACTGTTGACCACAGGACAGCAGTGGTCAGGAGCCTAGCCAGACAGAACAAGCCAGCAGGTAGACCAATCACAGCTGACACCTACCACCCTTGAGGTCAGCAGAGGCACCCACATACTGGAAGTTGTCCATGTTAATGACATCAATAATGGGGGATACAACCCGGGTCCTGTCCTGGGCAGGGACAAAGGAAGGAAAGAATACTTGTTACGACCCCAGCAAAGCAAAAGCCACCATCCCAACAGGCCTTCCCATTAGATGCCACTGTCGCAAGATGGGCAAGGGTGGTGGCATGAGAGGGGACAGCTGAGAACGGGACACTCTGCTACTTCTTCTCCCAGCTAAAGGCCCAGGCTGTGCAGTGGCCCCGAGTCAACTCCTAAATGTCAACCGTGGGTAGATTTCAGTGTCCCAGAGCTAAGCTCGGCCACTTTATGGCTGCCACCCTCTCACTACACTGGAGCAGCTCAGGAATGAACTCATGGCTGAAGTGCCTCCACCCCAAAGCCAGGAACAATTTCTGGGTGCAGACGGCATGAGAGGTGGAAGTCATCACCTCCACAGCAACTGACTGGAGTTTTCCCACCCTAACTCAACTCCTGTGACACGCCTACCTTCCACTGACCCGTTTTTTCACGCCACAGTGCCCCTTTGCTGAGACCAAACACAAGGCCTTTGACCTCTTCAGACCTTCATGTCAGCTCTGCCTCATGCTGACAGTTGATAAAAGAGAAGGCGTGTGGTCTCTGAGTTACAGAGTATTGTTAGCCAGAGAAAGACTCAAAGAGGTTCAGCAACAGGACCGGCAGAGCTCTGCACTGCTCAGGGGTGGTACAAAGTCCCACCTGCCTGCTTGCAGGCTGACGGGAAACAAGCGTTGGGCCATGGAGATCAGGCTGGCCCTGAAAAGCTGAGCATCATCTGCTTTACACTCCTTCTACTGAGAAGAGATTACAAGAACCCCTCAGCTATGGGGGAATAAAGGGGAGGGGACTGTGACATCTCCCGTGAGCTGGCAACCCCATGAACCTCCGCACGGAGGGAAGCTAGCCCTAGCTCTGCTTTCTAGTGTGACGGCCTAGCAGAGTGAGAAGCTGTGGGTTAGACCACCAGGGCAGGTGCCTGACACAGATGGGTGTGGAAGAGAGGGGGGGCCTGGCTAAGGGTGGAGCAGAGCCTGCACAACAGCCTGACCGACACCCACGTGATTCTGGACGTTACTCAAGTCCCCTGAAGGCCAGTGTCCTCGCTGATCAGATGAGGGGAAGCACGAAGTGTGCCACCGAGCCCAGTAAGGCCAGAGACAGGACGTCCAGCAACCTTTGGTCGCTTAGTATTTTGCGACTTGTTGCTGTTGCTCTTGTGCTGTGTGGCAGGCAGAACGCGTTCACTGTTTCCTTTCATACGCTCACTTCACTGCCCCAAGGAAGCACTTCCATAGCAGCCAGGAAGGCAAGCCAGGAAGGCAAGCAGAAGTCAAGAGAAATAACACTAAGCTAAACACAGTACAAGTGGGGATGCTTCTAGAAGGCAGAGTGAGGCCAAAGGCCACTTGACAAGCCCACCAAGGGCACTGTGGTAACCTGTTTGCTTCTCCTTGTAGGTCTGGAAGAGGTGGTCAGTCTGTCCTTACCAGGGTAGAGGACTATCACTGCAGCCACCCCCATCCTTCTCCAGACATCCCATCAGATGGTACTCCTACCAACGGGCTACCCTGCTGGCCACATATCTTCCTGCATGTGAGCAGGGAAGGTACTCCCCCGTGACTGGCCACTTCTTCCCAGGCTCCAGCCAGCTTCAAGGAACCTGTGTTCCTCAGACAAAGTGACTGTTCTGTATCAATGGGACACCATGAAACAATGTCTAGGGCACCAGCTTCCTTCCCAGTGTCAAGAAAACCCACGGCCACTGTGTGCAGCACACCCTCTGTGTGAGCGAGGCTCACCTCAGCAACCCGCTCCAGCAGCGGTTCCAGCCATCGCTCGTTACATTCGCAGTGACTGTCCAGGAAGGTCAGGACCTTGGCCTGGGCAGCGTCGGCACCCCGGACCCGAGAGCGCATCAGACCTGTGAAGATAAGTTCAAAGTACATGAGAGAGCTCCACCTGAGAGCCTTCCTGGCATGGCCAGCAGCACCAACGCCCTGTCACAGAAGAGCTGTCCATCAGTTGTGGGTATAATAGCACTGCTCTGCAGTCTCTGGGGTAGAGGCCCAGCAGGACTTCAAAGCGCTCATCAGATGATGGGAAAGACAACTTTCCTAAGGCTACTGACCTGGAGGAAGGAAGTTACCTTAGCAAACACCCAAAGCATGATCTGAAAACATTGTGCTGTCGTGACTCCAGTTCCCTTCTGAGATAAGGAAGGTGCCATTCCACACCCTGACAGCTAATGGTGCCAGGTCTGGCGGTCACAGTATCTGCTGCAATGTAAACAGCTTTGTTTTCATAAAACAGGGGCATCAAGTCAAAACCCAGCTAAGGCTTGTGAACAGTTGTTGACAAGTACTTCATCATGACACAGTCTTTTCGTCAGCCTTGTACTGACCCTGGGAGACACTCCACATCTGGATGGGATGTGAATCCCTCACGGTGAGCAAGGACGACTGCTTTAAGTTCCTTTTTACAGTAGTAAAATGGAGTTTTGATTAATCTTATTGTGGTGGTTTGAATAGGAATGGTCCCCAGAGACTCATGGGTTGGAATGCTTGGCCCATAGGGAGTGGCACTATTAGGTGGTGTGGCCTTGTTGGAGGAAGTGTGTCACTGTGGGGGTAGGCTTTGAAGTCTCATGCTCAAGCTGTGCCCAGCGTGGGACATAGTCTCCTTCTGCTGCTTGCAGATCAAGATGTAGAACTTAGTTCCTTCTCCAGCACCATGTCTGCATGCTGTCATGTCCTGCCTTGATGATAATGAACTAAACCTCTGAAACTGTAAACTAGCCCCAATTAAATGTTTTCCTTTATAAGAGTTGCAGTGGAAATGTTGTCTCTTCACAGCAGCTGAAACACTAACTAAGACATTAACTGCATGTTACATCAGGGAAAAAGATAAGATTTCCAACTCCAAGCCATATGAACCCTGGCTCAGGAAATGGATACAACTGTGGGGCTGTTTGAAAGGGCTTCCAAGAAGTCACTCAGGTTAGAAACTTGGGGAGATTCAATGCTTGAAAGCGGGAGTCGCAGAGTGAGACCAGGTCTGCGTGGGCTTGCCCTCACTTCCCAGAGTCCCCTCCCACCTGTTGCAATACAGTTCTTCCAGCTTCAGGTGTCAGGGGACCAAGTGCAGGACTTCTGGAATGGCTGGAAAGGAAAACAAGAAAGCCCCAAATCTGGTGAGAAGCCCCTGACACCTGTCGCTGACTCTTGGCTCAGGTAGCCACAGGAGCAGAGCAGCTGGAGAAGAGCAGTGGCCAGAGGGGCCGAGGCCTCAGCTGCTCTCTCCAGTGGACACAGGCTTTGGAATGTGAGTTTACTCTTATTTACTCTTGCTGAGTAAACAATGTTTGGGAAAAACCTCTGCCCTCCTACAGAAATTATAGAAGGATCACATTTAGAATACAATTGTTTTGTGAATAAGGGCTCTACTCAAAATGCACCTGTCTGAACAGAAAGTACAGAGAAGCACCCACATCATGTGTAAACCCAAGGTCTTCAGCCAGTGTAGGACTTGGCTATTAAGCTCACCCGCACCCTCCAAAAGCTCCCATGTTGAAGCCTTGGTCCCCAGGTGTGGTGCTGAGGGGTGAGTGGGCTGTAAAGGCTGCCAGTCTTATCAGTGAATAACTCATCCATGTCAAACTGGATGACATGGATGTGGTGGCACTATGGGAGATGGAGATGGAGCGATGTAGGTGGGGCCCGGCTGGAGGAACTGGGTCACTACAAGGGTACATCTTCCCAGACCCTTCCCTGCTTTCTGGTTGAGCAGAGATGAGCAATCCCGCTCCACCATAGTCTTCTGCACTGTGGTGCTGACCTGACCTCAGGCCCGAGTGACAGGACCAAGTGACACGGGTTGAAAGCCTGAGCCATAAGCCCAAATCACCTTTTCTCCCTTTAAGTTTCTTTTTTAGGAATTTTGTCTCAGAAGTGAAGAACACAGCTGGTGATTACATTTCCCTGAATATCAAAGGCTAATATTCTATGGAGAAAAATGAAATGACTCAGAATATCTACAGTACATCATTCAGAACATTCATCACACAGTGAGACATCAGTAGACAAGAGAAGGAATAAGAGAATGTGTACCACACCCAAGAGGGGGAAAACAAGCTTCCACTCAAAGTCACCCTGAGATGACTCAGATGTTGGAATTAAAAGATGAAGATTTAAAAATGTCTATTACTATGTTCAAGAGCTCATGGGAAATGATGGCTTTAATGAGTGAACAGGTAGGAAATCTCAGAAGAGAAGTAGAAACTGTAAGAAGAGTTAACTGGGTATTCCAAAAATGAAATTATCTCCAATGAGAACTCACTGGGTGATCTTCAAGGCAGAGCTGGCAGAAGGACCAGGGAACTTGAAAACAGTCAACAGAAATACATTGCCCAGGAAAATGGAGACAGAAACAGGAGGAGCAAAAAGCTTAAGTGATCATGAGAGCATGGGATGTAGTTAGATGCAGCCGGAGTCCAAGAGCGATGCCAGATTTGCACCTGAGGACGTGATGGCCAATCCTTCTCTAAATCTGTGGAAAACAGCAACTTACATAGTCTAGAGGATTTGGGCAGACCTGAAGCAGGAGAGACATAAAGAAAATGAGGGCTAGGTGGAGACACCAATAAAGACTCAGGAGGGTAGCAGGTGCCAACGACCTGTCACATGCAAGGGATGACAATTGTGGGAGCCCGTTCTGGGGTTCCTGGTGGCTTTACCCAGCAGGTCCGAATAGAGGATGATCAGGACCACGGGCCTGAGTGCAGGTGTCTGAGATGGCCTGCACTTGGCTGTGCTGGGGGAGGAGGTTTTTTGCTCCACCCCTTGGCGTCTCTATAAAAACCCTGGACCAGAGACAGTCCGGGCCCGTTGGAATAGGTTCCAGGCCCTCTCGAGGCTATC